CAATTAACATGGAAGTAGTGCAGTCCCCATCTGATTACAATTAACATGGAAGTAGTGCAGTCCCCATCTGATTACAATTAACATGGAAGTAGTGCAGTCCCCATCTGATTACAATTAACATGGAAATAGTGCAGTTCCCATCAGTTTATTCAGTAGTAATTAATCTAGTGCTCCATACCCAGCCAATTGCATCATTCTGAATGTGGGCCAGGTGGTTATGGTGCTCGACTTGCAATCTTAGTGTCGCAGGTTGGAATCCCTGTCCTACCAAATATGCTCTCCTTTTGAGCTTTGGGGCATTATAATGTGACATTCAATCCAACTATTTGTTGGTAAAAGAGTAGCCCAACAGTTAGTGGTAGGTGGTGATAACTAGCTGCCTTCCCTCTAGTCTTTCACTACTAAATGAGGGATGGCTAATGCAGATAACCCTCGTGTGGCTTTGCGCAAATTCAAAACAAACCAAACCATTCTAAATGTAATTGTGTATGGTAAATAATTTTTTTTAAGGGAAACCATCATCAGTTGATTATGTTCACCTAAAACCAGTTTTAACAAAAACTTCTAAGGAAGCATAAAAGCTTAACATATAAATTAGAAAAATATCTAGACTACTTTATGAAGCAACAATAAAAGTATCAGTACATAAATTACAACCCTCTAAACATTCAAAAAACTAAAATTTAACATTAAACATTAAAATTGTTAAAATAGGTTTATCAGTTAATTAGCCATCTCATCTAGTCTCTTCTTAATTAAGAGAAATAAGAAAATTATCTACCTGCAGTAATGTGAGTTTCCTAATTCATTTTTTTTCTGTTGTAATTTATTTTCCATCTTTATAAATAAGTAATGTATTTCAACAGTAAGCATTCTATAATTAGGTGTTGCAGAACCTTTTGACAGTGTAGCTTTTGTAACGACTGGGATTACACAATCCACCTTTAATTTGAGTACAGGTTATGAAAGCTGCCGAGGTGTGCTGTGAGATTGCAGGATCTAGGTTGCCAGCGGAACAGTGTGTAAGAACTTTGAAACCCATCATCCGAGCAGGAGAATACCCTGTTAATATGGCTGCTGTCAAAATGTTGAAACCGGTAAGAATGGTTAATGAAGATACAATCAACTTGTAAAAGTTTGTTGTCTTTATTGAAATTAGTTTGCAATTGGAAAAAAAAGTGTGCTAAAAATGAAAAAGAGAGATATCAAGAAGGAAAATTTAAACTGTATTCTTTGTAGATTTTAATACAGTATTCATTTTCAAATTGCATTAGCTTTATAAGCTGATGCAATTTTTTTAATTAATTATTCTTCATGAATTATGGTAGTCACATTTAAAGAGTCCTTGGTTTAAATTAATTATTCTTCATAAATTATGGTAGTCACATTTAAAGAGTCCTTGGTTTAAATTACTTATTCTTCATAAATTATGGTAGTCACATTTAAAGAGTCCTTGGTTTAAATTACTTATTCTTCATGAATTATGGTAGTCACATTTAAAGAGTCCTGTGTTTATTGATTAAATACTTTATGAAAAGTTTATCAATAGAAGTGAAAATTTTTATTCTGTATTCAATTTTAGTTCTTAAAATTTACAATTGTAATCAAATTTCTGTTAATTTTTTTCAGCTAGTGGAACATAATCCCAGAAATGTTGTTTTACAACTGTTACCAGAAATGATGCCCTCTCTTATTAGAGTAAGTGTATTTTTGCTGTTAGGGTATAAATAACATTTGAAGTGTATAGGGAACTACTTAGTGTATCAAAAAAAAAGTATTTCCTTTTTAAGCCTTTCACTGCACAATCCACCAATGAGTATATTTAACCCCTTTTGCTGCATAGTTTGGATACATGGATTAATGTGTGTTATGTAGGTTTTAGTGATGAAATAAATGTCAGACCAAGTACTATATAAAAATGGTCAAGTTTTGTGGTGGCAGTTTATGAGATAATAGCTATATGTGGAATTTGTGGTGACTTATGTTCTGGTTATATTAAAGTCTTATACAGAGAAAAGAAATGTACAGATAAATATTAAATGAACAGTGTTTATATATATATATATATATATATGTGTGTGTGTGAATATGAAAAATTCATCAATCGATATTGGAATTAATTATTGATATTAACAGAATAATTAAAAAAAAAAGTGGTATCTCCCATTCAAAAAATAGCATGTTTAACATGTATGAGAAGTTGGTATATATTTAATTCAATGCCTTCTTTGTTTCTCTCAAATGATCATTCAAAACAATCTGTTTGTTAAATACCTTATAATTGTGTTTTTAAAGGATATTGTTAAAGTTTTGCATTATTAAGCTTTAACTTAAGTATAAAGAGTAGCTAGGTGTTTGTTCAGGTTATTAATTGTGTTGCTTAGTTAGAAATAACCCAAAATTAAAACACTGACAAAAGCTGTTGTATTTTGTTGAAATGTTTGTTTTTTATTAGACCACTATCATATATGCTGGCTGGATCTTAACTCTTTCATTATACTCTCTATTAATGTTTACAAATATGTTTTTCAGTAGACAGATTAGATGTTGGAAGTTTTCAGAGGGATAACATAGGTTACAGTAGGTTATGAGTGTGTGTTTGGATTTATGCACTAAAACCACACAGTACAGTAGTACTTTACTAGGGCAGATTCTGGTTTTGTATTAGTAAACTGTAAGGAAATTTTTACAAATGAAGAAATTAGTGAGTTGTATATTGCTTTTAAAAATTTAGTTTTGAAATTTATGTTAGGATTGCATTGGAAATGTTTACTAAAAGTTAATAAATATATAAAAAAAACAGTTATGATTTAGACAATGAAAGACCCTTAAGAATTTCTTTTTGACAGGCCTATGACAACACAGAAAGTTCAGTAAGAAAAGCTGCTGTATTTTGTATGGTAGCTATCTATAACCAAGTGGGCGAGAACTTAACTCCTCACCTGACATCGCTTTCTGGAAGCAAGGTAGGTTACTTATTTAAGGTTTCATTATATGTTCTTTTGTACCAATATAATAACTATCTTACAAATTTATATTTTGTGTCATTACTTACTTAACCTTTAACAAAGCATCAGATGTTGAATGTGAAACTTTATTTTTTGATGATACCATTAAGTATTTAGTTTTTCTTGCATTTATTATGGAGGTTTCAGTTATTTCTTGTTCACATAGTATGAAGTCTGTTTAATAGTTTTTGTTCTGAGAATGTTTTTTGACAGGCCTGTCCAGGATATTTAAAACCTCTAGAAAAATAGCTATTCAGTAATAACTCTTTTCTAAAATTACATAACATGTTGTGTAGCAACTTTAAAACTAGACCATGACTTTGTTACTTTGTAACAATACATTTCAAGATTATTGAAAAATGATGTTTGTATCTGAGTATGTGCTTTATATTTGATTAACAATATAAACATGGATGTGTATTGGCTGCCATATGGCTGATATCTGCTATTTCTATTGTCAAATTTACCATCCATTTAGTTTGTTCAAACCAGTGAGAAAAGTGTTGGACTAGAGACAAAATACTAGTACTACTAAGCTTGATTCAAGATTGCCTTGTCTTCTTTGGTGTTTATGCTAAACTGAAATTTATATGTGAGACTTCTTTTAACTGGTTAATTTATAGACAGCCTACCAATCACAAAACATCAAAAGTCAAAGGTATTTGAACACCTGGGAAATGCACTTTGGTGAGAAATTTAATAGGATCAGTGGGTAGAGTTAGGCTTTAAATCTTTCACCATCTGGTTTGTGTTTTTTTTAGGTTTCTTTTATGTAGAGCTACACATTATTTCATCTCACATTATTATTCTTGTGAAATTAATAGATGGAGCTTAGATTAGACAGAATCAAACATGACCTGATATAAATTGGGGGGGGGGGATACAGCAAATCTCTCAACGATATTTTGTTACAGAAGGAAACATATTACAATTACAAAAGTATTAAATGTTAAAGATTTCAAAATCATTCTCATAGGTTATGTTACCATACATTTCATTTTACATTGATCCAAAGAATTTGGACATGTGTTATAATACAGAATGTATAGCTCTCATAAAATATTTCATTCATTTTATAACATTCCTGTTTAGCATATATAATTAAATTAATATTAAAAAATCTAAAAAAGAATGTTTTACTTCAGTTAAATTTTCTGAAATAAGAAGACATCGTTGTACTTAAATGCAAGTCAAAGATTCTGTTCAACAAATTTCATAAAATAATAAAACAAAATTGCAACCAACTTTTGTGTATTAGTCATCTAATGCTTTACCTGAAGATACATTACCAGCATCCCTTATTAGAAAAGAATTACTGAAAAAATGGTTATCACAATGCATACAAATTTCAATATGCATAACTTTGTTTTAGAAGTGTAAAAAGTTCATAAGAATGGGAAGAGAGAGGTTCATACGTGAACATACATAATATGAAGTTGGTAAGTGAACATACATAATATGAAGTTGGTAAGTGACTTGTCAGTAATTTGCCCTAATGTGTACAACTATTTTCTCAGTATTTCATGAAATGACCAGCTTATAATTAGCTTGTCTCACCATAACAATCATTAATTAACCAGGGTTTATATGGGGTCCTGGAATTTCTGGAAAGTCAGGAAAAATTAAAATATGTCTTACAGACTTTTAAAGTCAGGAATTTTCCTGAATTCTACCTGTGAGCTTACTACAACAATTGTGGATTGTGGTCATAATTCTGTTAACATTAAAAAAGTAATTTCAGTTCTCTGCAGTGATTTAATTTGATCTGTTATCTAAAGTGCATTTAGAAGCTGCATAAGATGTTCACAGTATTGTTGTATTCTTTTTTTCTCGTGTGTTCTGCTTTAAGTTATTTGGTGCCCGGATAGGCCAAATCTATTTTAAATCATGTAAAGTATGACCCTTGATGGTAAAATGGTCGTGGAATTCTGCATTCTTTGAAGTATACCAATACTGATAAAATTCTTATATAGTATATGCCTTTATATTTCATGAAATGACTAGTTTTTGTGTTAACTGGTCTTTAATTTCGGTCATTGAAACATGAGTTAAAGTGACATAAGTTTCATATTTACTGATCATCCAAGCAGTGAATAATTCAAATATTTAGTTCCCCAGAATGGCCAGTAGTGCACCATTTGCTATTCTCATCCCTGTATAAATGTATATTTGTGCATATATATATATATAATTTATGCATTTAGTTTTGATATTATATATATATAAGTTACATACTTTAAAATAATAACATGGAACCACTTGCATTACATGTCAAGTCACTTGGAAAGTGGTATTAATGTTTCTTTCTGCTGGTGCATTTTTTCCTTAATTATTTAATAAGTGTTCTATTTAGTGGGGAAAAAAAAAAAAATATATATATATATATATGTGTGTTATTTTATGTAGCTTACTTTCAGATATCATGTTCATTCAGTGTGTAAATGTTAGGACCAAAATTAGTATGTAGTTTACAAATTTGAATAAGTTTTTTGAATCAGAAACATAAATTGGCTTAATCATTTCTATTTATGTAATTTTTATTAGTACTTTAAAACTCATGCACTACTTTTAAACAACCAGTGAACTACCAAAACGCTTAGTCATATTGTGTATTCTTTAATAATTATGGAGACTTTACATTTATGAAATTAGATATAGGACTGTTTTGGAGTCAGCATGAAAAAGAAACTGGTTGATTTTAGTCTCAACAGACCTAAAACTGGCCGATATTTCTTTTAATACTCTTGGCTTGTCCTACATTTATCAGTTGGTGGTATTAATTTATAATTGTTATCTACTGTGTACGTGTTCCTCCTTGGGATGATAATATATCTGATGTGTGCCATTTACTGTTGTACCTGCATCTCTGGGGATGGTAATATGTCTGCTGTGCATCATTTCCTATTGTACATGTACCTTTTTGGAATGGTAATATATCTACTGTGTATCATTCACTGTTGTACCTGCATCTCTGGGGATGGTAATATGTCTGCTGTGCATCATTTCCTATTGTACATGTACCTTTTTGGAATGGTAATATATCTGCTGTGTGCCATTTACTGTTGTACCTGCATCTCTGGGGATGGTAATATGTCTGCTGTGCATCATTTCCTATTGTACATGTACCTTTTTGGAATGGTAATATATCTACTGTGTATCATTCACTGTTGTACCTGCATCTCTGGGGATGGTAATATGTCTGCTGTGTGCCATTTACTATTGTACATGTACCTTTTGGGACGGTAGTCTGTCTGCTGTTTACTGTTGTACGTGTACCTTCTTGGGATGGTTATATGTGTCTGATCTCAATTACATTTATGTGAATTATTACAAACTATTGTATTTTGTTTTTTGGCTTGCTTTTATAAAATTGTTTTAGCTCAACACAACGTGGTATAATAAATATCCATGTTTACTATTTTGGTGTCCTAATATTTAATTTTGTTCACTCAAGAGTTAGCCATTTTTAAAAATAACTTTTTTTGGGGGGGGGCATTATCCTGTCAAAATATTTTGGTAGTAACTAAAAATATGTTATAAAAAATTGGAAAAAGTCAACCAAAAAGTATAAATTATGACTTGAGAAGCCTTTGAAACTTAAATATTCACAAAGTAGATTTACATTTCACAGACTTCTCAAGACATAATGTCAGTTTATAAATTTTATATTTTTAAATGACACTGCAACGTTCTCATATGCCTTAATTGTATATCTCCTTTGGTTCTATTGAAAGTAGATTTTAACTTATAATTTGACTGAAACTGTTGCCAACAGTCTGATTGCTTCTTAATTATGAAATTGTACGAGTTCAGTGCATCTTGTCGTTTTTTATTATTAGGTTTAAGTTTGTAGAATCACTTCTACGTCTCGATTGTCTAATAAATAACCTTTGATATTTCTTGAACTTTTTTCCAGATGAAACTCCTGAACCTGTACATAAAGCGTAGCCAGACTACTACCAACAATACTTCAGATACTGTACATAAAACATAACAAACCAAATTGAATTATCCAGCAGTGGATCTTTTTTTTTTATCACGATCCCCATTTGAATAAGTTTAAAATTCATGGACATCTGTGATCATAATTAAAGAACTTTTTGGGGTAGAGAACCTCATTAACAGTGTAAACATCAGAATATTTTAAAACAGTATGCTTGTAGTTTTGTGCCAATACATGGTGGTTTAGTCCTGGCTTTGTCTCTCAGTAAGGGACAGATGTAAAAAAAAAAAGTAGATAAAGGTCAAAGAAATCTCTCTCTCTCTCTTACCTTTATGGATTTTCATAATTTTGACCACAAAAAGAATGATACTACTTATTGGGAACCAGTTTGTTAAATAATTTTTTGTTATTTGCTAAAAATAATTTGAATAAGTTATAAACAAAAAATGTTAATTGTAATAAAAATGCATTGTCTTAGTAAAATCTTAATCTCACTCAGTGGTTTTCCAGCATCTGTTGTAGCACTTAAGATGGCTCCAAAGTTAAATAGAATTTTGAAGGATAATAAAACCAAGTTTTTAGATACAGAAAATAATATGATTCTCATCATCTGCACTCTTCTGTCAGAAAGAAAAAAAAATACATATATACTTTAGAAAAATTAATTGAATTATGCTTTGCACTTGTCCATTTTTTGTCATTAAAGTTGTCTTGATATGTAGTGTATCACTAGTAAAGCAGGATTTGCAATTGTATGTAAAAAACATTCATTACCTGAAAACTTAACTTGCCAAGTTTGAATTATAGTGCACTTATGATCTTAGGTATATTGGACACGTAAAGGTTCTTAATATAATTTTGCTATAAATGCCTGGATCTTAAGTCCTCAAGTACTTATCTGCAACACGTTAAAAGTACATTCTTATAGAAGCTTATAACTTCTAGTCCAAAGGTCACAAATGTGCAGCCCTATGATATATAAAATGTCAAGAACTTTGTTGTTTTGGGAAGTCCTGTTTCTTTTCAGCATAATTTAGTATGGTAGATGACTTGAGAATACAAATCTGAGAGTTGATAGGTTATTAAAAAATCTACAGAGATCCTCTCAGTGGTAAGTGTGAAGACTTATGGCATCAAAAATAAGGTTTTGATATCCATGGTAAGTACAGCACAGCCCACTGTGTAGCTCTGCATTTAACAAGAAACAAACAAAACATATAGGTCCTTTGTTATTTATCAAGCAATCTGTTAATAAAGCATTATTCGTAGTCATGGTTTCATAACTTTATGGATCTGGGTTTTCCTCATTTAGATTTGGTAAATTAATCCACCCCATCCCAGAATGGCTTTCAAAGCTGTAGTACTAGTTAGAAAAAATATAGATGGTTTCATTGGTTTAGTTGCTACACTTTTAAGATTTTTGATGTAAGTACTGTTGTTTGCTTAGCTTTTGCACTTAACTATCATGGCAAGTTATAATTATGGCATGCATACATTTCATTTTCACCATTATTTTGAATATTTATTAATTAATACATTCCTCAGCTGGCCTGTCCTTTTGATTTGATGAATTGTAGTGCTCAGCTTTCTTAGGATACAATCAGACAAGTTCATTAGAGATAACTGGCAAGTATGGGACATAGAATATTGGGCTTTCAGGTTTTTAATCTGTTCAGGAAATGAATAGGATTACTGGAAGATAGTGACTAGTTTATGTCACGTTATCTTGACCCTGGTTAACATGGCCACTAGTCACATTGAAAAATTGAATTGGTCATGGATGTCAAGACCTGATATGTATACCAGATAAAATGCTACAAAAGTACTTCGGTACATGATCCATTTAACAGCACGGTGTACAAGTTTGTCAGAAACCTGTTTCATTGGAGGTTTGAAGAGTCTAAAATATATGCTACTGCTGGTTTGTAAATGTTCTGATTATCAATACATGAACTGCGAACTTTGTTTTTTAAAAACTTTTTATATTAAAGACAAATGTGTAGATTTTTTTATACATAAAGCCAAAAGCTGTTTTGTAATAATCTTTCTTTGATTTCAAAATTTATGGATGATACAGTATCCTGACTTGAAGAATGATAGAAACTTGCTATTTTCTTAACTTCTTTATCTCATAGAGAAATAATACCTTGTAAATTGGTAATGGTGAGGATACTAACCATAATGTATGAGCATGGTTTAGTAGCTTCTGTATGAAATCTCATAGGTTATACACCATGTGTTGTTTTTGTATTGTTCATACAGCTACTGATGTATGTTTACCATCTTGTACAGATAAAAATTGCCAATATTATTTAGCATTTGAAATTCTGTCCTGAACCTGACTAGTTTTTTATGGCCCACCAGTGCAAAAACTCTACCTTGATATGGCTGTGTCCTTTTTTTTTTTTATTTACTACGTAGTTCACTAGTCTACTTTACTTTGT